CTATTCCATCTACGATTACCCAACCACCTTATCACATATCCTACATAACTGGACCACCTAATCAACCACCTCTCTCAAAGTCCACCTCAAAAATGTAATTATCAAAATAAGTCTACAGTTAAATTATTCCATCAGAATATTGAACATTTGAAATCCAAAATTGAGGCTTTGCAAATAACTTTGAATGAAATAAAAGCACATATTGTTATCTTGACAGAACATGATATGAAAGAGGAAGAAATTGATCGCTTAAATATAGAATACTATTCTGTAGGGTCATATTTTACTCGGAAGCTGTCACGCAAAGGTGGAGTAATGTTACTATCTACCAATGATATGAAACAAAAAATAGTTACAATTCCTGACTCTTTGAAAAATAAATTAATAGAAGAAAAACAGTTTGAATTTTGTATATGTAAATATTTAATTAATAATTTTGAAATAGTAGTTGTAGCAGTTTACAGATCCCCTAAGTCAAAAGCTGAAATATTTTTAGACAGATTAACTGTACTTTTAGAATTTCTGAACAATAAGTTTAAGTGTATCATTGTTGCAGGAGATATTAATATAGATGTGCTTGTTAAATCTAAGGAACACACTATGTTAAAAAATATGCTAAAAAGGGTAAATATGGAGTACTTGGTAAAATTTCCCACTAGGATCTCTAAAATATCAAAAACAGCAATTGACAACTTCCTTGTCACAAAGTCTCAAAGCAGCCTCATGAAAATAAACGGCATAATAACCTTATTGTCTGACCATGATGGTCAATGCTTAGAAATAGCTTTGCCAAAATCGAAATCTGTAAGGGAAAATTTTATTTTCCGGGACCAAAGAGTTTTTAGTGAAGAAAACATTAATCTGTTTAAAAAATTTCTATCAGATGAGTCATGGGCTGAAGTAATTCTTTCGCCGGCTAAAGATAAATACAATAATTTTATAGACAGTTTCATGTACCATTTTAATACAGCTTTTCCTATGAAAAGAATAAAAAAGAAAACAACACAAAAAAACAATTGGATTTCCCTACAACTTAAAGAAGAAAAGAGTACACTAGTTAAACTAACACGGGAAAGCAGAAGTAAAAAAGATAACAATTTGACAGAAATGTTAAAGCAAAAATCTTTGAATTACAAAAAAAATGTTAAAAAGGCAAAAAGAGATTATTTTGACAGTAAAATTAAAAAATCAAATAATGTAAATAAAACAGTTTGGAATATTATAAATTCGGAAGTGGGAAACAAAATCCATAAAAATAATCAAAATATTAATTTAGTTCATAATGGAAAACATTACTGTAACCCAACAGATGTATCAAATATATTTAATGATTTCTTTGTAAATGTGGTAAAAAATAACATTGATTTATCTCAAATAAACAGTTGTACAGATAGTAATGATGTAATATTAGATTCTGCCAAATGGGAAATGAAACCAATGTTTAGATTAAGAGATGTGGGAGTATTAGAAATAGAAGAAATTATCAGTTCCCTTAAAAATAAGAGTTCGAGTGGGTATGATGAAATCCCTATATTTTTGTTAAAATCCATTAAAAATGAAATCAGCTATATTTTAAGTCATCTCATAAACTCATCATTTGTCTCAGGAGTCTTCCCGGATAAGTTAAAAATTGCAAAAATTATCCCATTACATAAAAAAAATGATGTTAAAAATCCGTCAAATTATCGCCCATTATCCTTGTTACCAACATTTTCTAAAATTTATGAAAAAGCAGTCTACATTCAATTAACAGAATTTCTAGTTAAGAACCACTTAATAGATGACATTCAGCATGGTTTCTGCTGTGGAAAATCGGTAATTACTGCAAGTATTGCTTTCATAGAATCAATAATTGACTCAATTGATGCTGGAGACCCATGCATTGGTATATTCATGGATCTGTCAAAGGCATTTGATAGTGTAAATCATACATTACTTATTAGTAAATTAAAATCTCTGGGGATGGTCAAATCTACATTAGATTGGTTTTGTTCATACCTTGAAAATAGATTCCAGTTTGTCCAATTAACTAGTTGTTCTGATAATAGAATTTCAAATCATAAATCACAATTAAAAAAAGTACGATTCGGAGTTCCTCAAGGATCAATTTTAGGGCCCCTTCTTTTCATATGCTATCTAAAAAATATATCAACTTCACTATCAAACCCTGAGAAAAGCAGTATATGTTTATACGCCGATGATACTAACCTAAAAATCTCAGATAAAACAATAGAACAAATTGAAATTTTGTCTTTCCTAGAATTAGAAAATATTGTTCAATTTTTCAAAAATCATAATTTACAGCTAAATGTTGAAAAAACAAATTATATATCATTTAAAACAGGTCAGTCAAAAACCACAGCAGAACCTGTTGTTATGATTGATTCCGAACCTATTGAACAAATTTTTAGCACAAAATTTCTCGGTCTACTAATAGATGGCAACCTAAATTGGAATGAACACGTGGACAAAATCATATCAAAAATTAATTCAGGTTTATGTGCCTTGAGAAAAATGGCAGATTTATGTAGTCAATCAACACTCAAACTAATATACCATTCCTATATACATTCCCATATATCATTTGGCATCTGTCTTTATGGCTCCACCAAACAAGAAAATCTTGATAAAATTCAAAAATTACAAAAAAAAGCAATTCGGATCATTAAAAATCTTCATCAAGAAGTATCCTGTAGAGAGCATTTCAAAAATCTTCAAATTATTACAGTTTATGGACAGTATATTTTTGATACAATTATGGTTTACAAAACTTTGAATTCAAGCAAGCCATTAATAAACCATCCAACTCACCCATACAATACCAGAAATAAATCGGAAATCATACCCACTCATCACAGATTGCAACTCTACACCAAAAAACCATCATATGCAGGAGCAAAGTTTTTTAGAACTTTACCTAAAGAAATAAAAAAAGAAAATAATGTTAATAAATTTAAAATTAAGTTAAAAAATTATATTACATCAAATACTATTTATTCAATTGAGGAGTATAACCAGTTGTAAATATGTATTATAAGCCCTGTTAGCTATAAGGAAATGACACTATTCCGTTGTATGACTCATGTACACATTATGAATAAAGATTGATTTGATTTGATTTGATTTGATTTATTTTACCCCCTACACATTTGACCCGTTACACAACGGTATGACTTACAATTTACGAAACAACAGGCACATAGAACAACACAGATTGAAGTTATTTGAGAAAAAAACCAGTTTCATTGGCAAAAAATTTTTATTTAGCCTACCCAAAAATATTTTTAATGAACATGATTACAGTAGCTTTAAAAAACTACTGAAAAACTATTTGCAATCTAAATCATTATATTAAATAGAAGAGTTTTGGAATTTAAATGATTAGAAATATGTTATGTTATGATGTATGTTTGTAATCTATTATTTAGGATACTTGTATACCTAAATTTTTGCTTATCTTTTCCTTTCTGTGACGCAATTCATGTATTTGCTGTCAAATACTTGATGAATAAAGATGATTTGTATTGTATTGTATTGTATTGTACTCCGCGGTCACGGCGGGGGTATGACTCACGGTCACGGCGCGATCGTCAGTATGACTACGTAGTCAGGTCACGGCGCGACCATTTGTATAACTCGCGGTCACGGCGTGATCGTCAGTATGACTCCGTGGCAGCGCCGGATTTACCACTAGGCCGTGAGGGCCGCAGGCAAAATGCAAGCAAAGGCTTGACAATTTGTTTTTTCAGAGCAAAAAAATATTTTTTTTAAGTTATCAAATTGCTGAGATCGTGGGTGACAATAATGATGCCCCCGTGATTGCAGCCCACAGGAGATATTCACGGTTTTGCCGCGGTGACGATGATGATATCACCGTTATTTCGGCTCACGGGAGATGATCACGATATTGCCACGGTCACGGGTGTCGATGATGATGTCCCCGTGATTGCGGCCCACGGGAGATATTCACGATTTTGCCACTGTGGCGGGTGACGCTGAAGGTGTAGCCCTGATTGCGGCCCACGGGAGGTGTTCACGATTTTGCTGGGGTCGTAGGTGTCGATGATGATGTAGCCCCCTGATTGCGGCCCCCTGGAGATATTAATGATTATGCCGCTGTGGTGGGTGACGCTGATGATAGCGCCGTGATTTTGGCTCACGGGAGGTGTTCATAATTTTGACGCTGTGGCGGGTGACGCTGATGATCCATCCCTAGTAATTTTAAGTCTACTCTAAGTGTGTCTAATCATCGTATTTGGAAAAGGTGATCTACTGCTATATGCAGCAATTGCCGCCACTTGCCTGTTATAAGTGGTGGGGGATTGGCTTCACTGCCCGCAATGCTTGCTGGATATACGTAGCCCCTCTAATTCTATTCTGTGCTCTCTGGTCCAAACCCACAAATATCAATGACATTTTGTTTGTTTAGTAATGAATGTATTGTATTAATGTACCATGACTAAAAACTTAAACTGTAGTGTTTTTTATTATACTTACATTTTAATTTTATTCAATAACCTATTTTGATTTGTTTCAAATATTTAACAGTAGCCTACCGTCACTATATATACAGGGTTAGGCAAAAATCTGGACACCCCCAGTTGACTTTTTAACAGGTTGCAGTAGGAAAACCAAACTTGGCACATGTTTACAACATAAAAACTTTAGCAGCCCCAAATAATCAAATGTACACCCTAATGTTCACCCAAGTTTAATCGTGACTTGGTCCTGGATTAAACTTGCAACAGATTGGTTTAGCTGCTGTCAACTGCACGCAGAGCTGCTCCTGCAATTCCCCCTGTATCCGGCCTAAACACGGGATGTTACTCTTGTAACAAATATGACCTTGAAAAGAATTTCATTTCAAAGTTTCTACTAACAAATAGTTTGATGTGTTAAACTTATATTTGTTGGTTTAATTGGCAAATTCCAATATTAACAGTAAAGATAGGTTACTAGATTTCTATGTTACATCAAGTTGAGTGTGTGTTGTGCTGCAGGAGATGATCAGTCCTGACTCGCCACAGAGACACAAGTTGTCTGTCCACGTAGTGTCTACAGCCGAGGGTGGAGCAGGCGACACAACCTCGAGTGAGAACAAGGAGGAGGTCAAATCTAAGGTAAACATATCAGCATGTACCCAAGCAATTTCAACATTAAAGGAGCCTGTAATTTTCTCATAATTTGTTAATACTGTGTTGGAGAGAAATGGAGTTCAGCTTGCTAACCTGAAACAAGTCCAAGATTTAGATACACACAAAAAAGTACATATCATATCACACATACATTATTGATACAGTAGACCCTCTCTAATCCGGCACTGCACCACTCCAGTAATCCGGCGTCTTATGACGGGAGGTCTTCCGCGATCGCGGCAAAATTCTGATTATCTCCCGCGGCCGTGTAGACATCATAATTCTCTCACGTGGTCATGAAAACGTCATCGTCGTCTTGCGCGATCGCGGCAAAATCATTAACATCTCCCGCGGTCACGGAAAAGTCATCGTCGTCATGCGCGATCGCGGCAAATTCGTGAACATCGCCAGCAGACGTATATTATTTATTTATTTATTTATTAAAATACATCACATAACGCCCAAGGAGTGCTTCTGCACGCAGGCAGGTATATTGTCAAAATATACATTGTGTACTAGTATAGAATAAAAGCAACATAATAATAAACTAGTGTCCCTGTTGCTCGAATTCGAGCAATTGCTAAGTATTACAGGCGTTATTTTAATAACAGTCATAATTTCTGATGACTTTAAAAGTTTCGACTCAAAGATTATGGAAATACTCAAGATGTACATAACAGATTATATCAATTTATCCAGGCTCTCTATCTTTTTTCCATTGTAATATTTACACCCCAAGTTCAAATAAACTGTTAAATTAGCAATCTTATTGGCTGTTTTCAATTAACATAATATGTTCTTCTTCTCACTTTTAATTTCTGACAACAGCTGGAGTTTCATATCAATTTTTGTTTCCCATGTATTCTTATGGAGAAATACGAAACTTTAAAGGACCCCAGGGCCTCACTCTTTAATTATTTCCATAAAAAGAAGTATTAACAGTATTGAACAGTATTGAAAAACAAGTATAAAATACGTTAGATAATTAGCAAAGTTAACAAATAAGTTATATCAATGTCAATAATGTTTACTACAATCAGACTGATAAAAAATCCTCAGTTCTGTAAAAACAATTGTCTAACAGGTACGACAGTAAGAGTAACCGGAACTTTTTAAATGATTCTACCTCTCTTAGTGATAAAGGAAGCGTATTATACAATTTGAGACCCATATAAAAAGTACTCTTTTCATAAGCAGCAGATTTATGTATGGGGTACTGCAACACAGAGCTCAAGGGCCTAAAGCTGTATTGGGAGTTAGTTCTTTTTTCTTCATAAATAGAAAAATGTTTTTTGACAAAGATTAAAGTGTTGAATATATACAAAGAGGGCACAGGTAAAATCTTCATTCTTTTAAACAAATTTCTACAAGATGTTCTTGGATTAACTTGTGCAATAACTCTTATAATTCTCTTTTGTATTTTAAATATTTTTTTACTATCAGTGGCATTTCCCCATAACTCAATACCATAGCCAATGTTAGAGTGCACATATACAAAGTATACCATTATCTGAGATTTTTCATCTATTAATTTTGAAAGCAGTAAAGTAACGTGAAATGCTGCATTAAGCTTTGATTCCAATTTATTTATATGATCAGACCATGTTTAGAGTTGAGTCTAATTTTATTCCTAAAAGGTTGCAAGATTGAATTTTACTTAATGTGTCTTCTAACGGGTTATAGTCAATCTGTCTACTTTTTATGCTATTAGAATGGAACTTCACACAATATGTTTTATTTCTGTTAGTTTAAGATTATTGGCCAGAAACCATTCAGTCATAAGATCAAGATCATTTTTAATTTCAATTTTTAAAATATCAGGGTTTTTATTTTTTAATACTGCAGTAGTATCATCAGCATACATTACCAATTTTGACTTAAGATTTTGTTTCAAGAGGTCATCAACATAAATAAGAAACAACAACGAACCCATTAATGAACCCTGGGGAACACCTTCAGTGACATTTTTGAAGCTTGAATAGTTAGAGTAATTCAGTTGAACTTTTTGTTTTCTACCCAACAAGTAGGACTCCACCTAGGAGGATTAAACATTAAGGAGAGGACACGCTGTAGTTTCGTTGAAGCCAGCGTACTGGGGAGGGGGGGGAGGCAGCGCTACTCTCCCGCCCCCTCTCATACTGCGTGTTATGCGTTACTGGAAGATTTGGTAACAGAAATATCAATTGACTATTTAAAAATTAGACTTCATCATGCTACGAAAATTAAAAAGTTAAATTCTAACCGTAATATTAGGAACCTATTAAGAGGAAAGTCATATTTATTTACCAATAGTACGTTCAAAGGTGAATAATTTACACAAGGACGACTTGTATTTTAGAATTCGTTGTCCTTATTTTTATTTTTTTCCATACTTGTATTGTGTATTATTTATAATACTCTAACCAGAGCGCGGGACTCCGGTTTATGGGGTCCCGGGTTCAAATCCCGCCATATCACCAATAGATTTTACTGTTCATAAATTAAAACTCAAATCATGAGTAGTACTGTATGTGTATTTGAACATTTTCTTAAAGAGAAATAAAATAAGTTTTAATCCTTTAAAAGAATGATAAACGCACTTTGGCGTCAGAAGACGTGACGATTGTTGAACATTTACACTTTTTACTCAAAGTTTCTTTAGGCAAACAGATCAAATATAGTTCAATATGATATTAAAAAAATCAAGAATTTGATTGCCAAGAAATTGTTTTACTTTTTATGATTGTAATTTAATTGTATTGGTGTAAAAAAAAGTTAGAGCGGCTTTGCAATTTTTCTTAACTTTGGCTATTTAAAATCACCTGCCTAGCACATAAATGACTTAAAACTAGTAAAATATGATATTAACAAATCGAGAAAACTATGAAAAATGCAAATTTAAAATGTATTTCACCACCCGAATTAAAATTTTCATTTTAACCTATTATTAGTAAGATTGTTTTATAAACTGGAAAAATAAAAATAAAACTTTATTGTAATTATTTTTCTAAATACCACTTTTAAATATAGGTAAATATATATTTTTTATTTCGAGAAACTCTTAAGGAACACGATTAAATTGTTAATTTTTGTAGATACATCATATTTTTTTCAAAAACGTAACTATAGTAATCATATGTTCAAAGTCCAGGTCAATTCTTTCAACTTTGATCTTCAATAATAAATAATAAATAATAGTTTTTATAGGAATGATTGACACTGTTCGATAGGAAATTTAATTTACTTTAAGGATGCCATCGGTGAATAACACAGGTGTTTTAGTTTAGCGGCAATTTTAATTCGAAACAGCGCGCGTCGCGTTTTTCCCTATCTCTCCCATGTTATAGCCGAGGCTTTTTGCCACTCTACGGCTCCGCGTGCCCCTCTAGTGTTCTGCTAAAGCTGGCTTCACCGCAACACGTGTATTCCTATTCGCGTGCCCTCTCCTTAATGTTTAATCCTCCTAGGACTCCACCAAATCATAAGCTTTTTGTCTAATTCCATAAAACTTAAGTTTGTGCAATAAAATATTGTAATTGACACAGTCAAATGCCCTTGACAAATCACAGAAGATGCCAATGGCATACTGTGATCCATCAACGGCGCCTGCAATGTAATTCAAGACCTCAAAGAGAGCATCTGAAGTGTTACAACCCCTTTTAAATCCAAACTGATTACTACAAGGAATGTTAATGGTTTCAAGATATGATACTAGTCTATTACAGATTAATTTTTCATAAACCTTGGAGAAAACTGGCAATAAGGATATTGGTCTGAAATTCTCAAGCTGTGTTTTATCTCCTTTTTTGTAGATTGGACGAACAATACTATATTTCAGTAAATCTAGAAATACACCTTTATTAATAGAAATGTTGATGATGTATGACAAAGGTTCAACAATGCTGTTCTTACAAATTTTTAAAATAAAAGAGGGAATGCCATCCCATCCTGAGGAATTTTTCAATTCACTAATTTTATTGATTTGATCTCACTTCAGGTAGTTAATTTAAAACAATCTAAGATGTCAATACAATTTGTACCAGCATTAGTTAAATATTTATTCACTTTATCCATATTTCCGATTAGATTAAGCTGTTCACTGGTGTGCAAGAAAAAATCATTAAAAAGATCTGCAATTGCTTTTGGGTCTTTTATTATTTTATTTTATTTCTGGATTCCGTTAAAATTAATAATTAAAATCCTGCTTCCTGTTACCAGTTTCCTCCTTGACAATAGACCAAGCAACTGTAGTTTTGTTCTCTGCACAACTAATTCTTTTATTATTAAACTTCATTTTAGCACACTGTAGAACCTTTTTAAAAATTAGTTTATAAGATCTAACATATTGGATAAAGTTGACATCATTTGATAATTTGCTCAACTTATGTAGCTCTCTCTTTTTCCTACTAGCTATTATAATGCCCTTTGTTAGCCAGCTTTTTGTTGTTATCTCTTTGCTCTTTGTCTTTACCAAGGGAAATGCCAATTCATAATGATACATGAAAATACCAAGAAAATGTTTATAAGCAGTGTTAGGATCAGAGATTTTAGCGCGGTATAAAGAATCCCAATTTTCATTACTGATTGAATCTTGGAATTTTAACATGTTTTCTTTCTTAAAACATCGCTTTTTGGTCTCAGTTTTGTTTTTATTTACTTTATAATTTATATTAGTCGATAAAATCTGATAAGTGTGGTCAGATATGTCAGTATCTACAACTAAAGTTTGACAACTGTCTAAAGCTACATTAGTAAACGCGTTATCTATACAGGTTTTAGAAACATTAGTAATCCTAGTGGGTTGTAAAATAGTAGCAAACATGCTGTAAGATTCCATCAGGGATTTGAAATGCACTGTGTGAGGTTCTTTTTTGAACAAATCAAAATTAAAATCTCCACATAAAAATATACTGTACTTAGAATATTTTTTAACAATATGAGAAAGCAAAGAATTTCTTTAAAGTTGTTGTATCATTGTGTGGTGGTCTGTATATACACACTACCAA